TAATCTTTTTAAATTATTAATTCTAATTTTTAAATAAAAAAAATATCTTTTTACATCACACCATAACAAAAGGAAAATTTCTTACTAAAATTTAAATTACTAATTAAAATCATATTAATATCATGTGATTGTAATAGTTAATTACTCCACCTAATTTCAAAGTAGGAAAATAAGAGAGGACTTGGAAATGTAGATTCGAAAATGACATCTACCATGGGTCAATATTACATTTTATATTCATTTATTTTTGTTTTGATGAAATATATTTAATTATTAGTATATCTCAATTTATTTTTGTTTTGATGGAATATATTCAATTATTAGCACACCTCAATTTTTTTTTTTTGAAACGATTAGCACACCTTAATTTAAAACACTCTATATATACTCTTCCAGAGTACTCTATTACGACGAACAAAGATATGGGAATTTTCTGTACCAAAAAAAAAGATATGGGAATTTTCACAATGCTCTGTACACCACTCTGCCTTCCGTTTTTCTTCCTCTGTCTTAAAGCTGCCTTCTCATCCTCTATACATGCTTCTTCCCTCTCAGCAGTACATCTCTGCTCTCATGAGGAGGCTCTTGCTTTGCTGCAATTCAAGACCTCCTTTTCCATCAATTTCATTGCTTCTAATCCTGATTTATGTGAACATTATTATACCAAACCTTATTCTAAGACTGAATCATGGAAGGAAGGTATAGACTGTTGTTCCTGGGATGGGGTTAGCTGTGATAATGTCATAGGTCATGTAATCGCCCTTGATCTCAGCTGCAGTCTCCTTTTTGGTACCTTTCCTTCCAACAGCACTCTTTTTCTCCTCAAAAACCTGCAGAGCCTCAATCTTGCCTTCAATGATTTTAGGCTGTCCAAGATTCCACCAGAAATTAGTCAGTTTACGAGACTGAAGCATCTTGATGTTTCTTCTTCTCGATTTTTGGGCCAAGTTCCAGCAGAAATTGCTCACCTCCCCAAGTTAGTTTCTCTCAATCTCTCCAATCATTATGATTCTTCTCACTTGATCCTTGAAACAACTACCTTCAAAAATCTTGTTCATAACTTGAGTGAGGTGAGAGAACTTGTGCTTAATGGAGTGAACATGACTTTTGTTAATCCTTGTTTCTTCATGAATCTCTCTTCTTCTTTGACTACTCTTCGTCTTTTTAATTGTCAGTTAAGAGGAAACTTTCCAAACAGTATTTTCCGCTTTCCAAATCTCAAGAGATTTAGTTTAGGTGGAAAGGGAAACCTCACTATTGATCTTCCAAGTTCCAATTGGAGCAGTCCTCTCCAATGGTTGTTTTTAGGTGATATGGATTGCGGAAGGCGATTGCCAGAGTCTATAGGAGATCTTAAGTCATTACAGTATCTGAGTCTTGGCTGCAACTTTAAAGGTTCCATTCCAACTTCCATAGGGAACTTATCTCAACTTACTTACCTAAGCCTCTCTTATAACAATCTTAGTGGGCAAATCCCACAATCACTTGCAAACCTCACCCAACTTACCTCTCTTTACCTTTCCAATAATCAGTTATCTGGTCCCATTCTAGCTTCCATAAGTAACCTAAGGCAACTTACTGGCCTAGACCTCTCTTCTAACAATCTTAGCGGACAAATCCCACCATCACTTGCAAACCTCACCCAACTTACCTCTCTTTACCTTTTCAATAATCAGTTATCTGGTCCCATTCCAGCTTCCATAGGGAACTTATCTCAACTTACTAGCCTATCCCTCTATTCTAACAATCTTAGCAGACAAATCCCAACATCACTTGCAAACCTCACCCAACTTACCTATCTTTACTTTTCCAATAATCAGTTTTCTGGTCCCATTCCAGCTTCCATAGGTAACTTAAGGCAACTTACTGACCTATCCCTCTATTCTAACAATCTTAGCGAACAAATCCCATCGTCACTTACAAACCTCACCCAACTTACCTCTCTTGCCCTTTCAAATAATCAGTTTTCTGGTCCCATTCCAGCTTCCATAGGTAACTTAAGGCAACTTACTAGTCTATACCTCTATTCTAACAATCTTAGTGGACAAATCCCATCATCACTTGCAAACCTCACCCAACTTACCTCTCTTGACCTTTCTTATAACTTACTTAATGGCACATTGCCACCTTGGATTTTTACCCTACCTTTGTTAGAGTACTTGTATCTCTATCATAACCAATTTCAAGGTCAAATAAATCAATTCCGGCAAAACTCACTCACACACCTAGATTTGTCAAACAATAAACTCCAGGGCTCAATTCCTAACTCATTTGCTAATTTAGTAAATCTTAGTTATCTTGATTTATCATCAAATCATTTTAGTGATTTAGTAGTACCTGACATGTTCTCGCCGCTTCAAAATCTAGAAATTCTTGACCTTTCTCATAACAACTTAATCAGGATTCCAAATTGTCTTCCCAAGTCTCTTTCAGTGTTGAATTTGCAGGCCAATTACTTTGATGGAAATATAGCATTTGAGTTTCTAGAGGGCTGTGGATTACGAAATCTCAACTTACATGGAAATCAAATGGACGGCTTATTACCAAGGTCTTTGGTGAATTGTCGCATGTTAGAGGTTCTAGACGTTGGCAACAACAACATAAGTGATACATTCCCACATTGGTTGGAATCTCTACCACACCTTCAAGTGCTTGTCTTAAGGTCCAACAAGTTCCATGGTTCTGTGCAGAGCACCAAAGAAAGTCCATCTTTTCCCAAGTTGCGAGTTCTGGACCTCTCCAGCAATTATTTTGTTGGTGCTTTGCCTGTTCGGTACATTGAAAATTTTAATGCGATGATGGACCCTCATAAAGATGGTGGTTCCCCTGAATACATGATGGTGTCGACAAGAACCAATTCTTATCAATATTCAGTGGTTGTAACATGGAAGGGATTCGACTATGAGCTGCAGAAAATCTTGACCATATTCAGTAGTATTCATCTCTCAAATAACAAGTTTGAGGGAGAAATTCCAGATGTTATTGGAAAGCTTAGTTCTCTCAAAGGGCTTAATCTTTCTCATAACAACCTTACTGGTCATATCCCACC